CCTACGATACAACGCTGGTATACATGTAAACACCAAAAAAAAGGCCGCGCTCAAGATACAAACCGCGGTATACAGTTTAAACAATGTTACCATATATTTAAACCTGTGCTTCACAAGCTGGCAGTTTCAGCCTGAAAGCCTCAGTTGAACGATCTTCAACAAGCTTGCTATGACGTTTCGCGCTCGCGGGACTCGCTGCTGTACTGGCTTGTCAGCTTTTCGTCTACTAGGCCCCATCCAACGTTAGGCCATTTTGCTCTCTCTGGCGACTAGATTCTATGCCACTCTAAAAATTGTAAACCAGCTACCGGGTTGACATGTGGCCAGATTCATCCGGCCTGAACAAAACGTGATTCCCTCTCCTTAGAATGTGTGCTCAACCAGCAGACCTTATTTCGACTAATTTTTACCAATATCCTATGGAGCGAAATTGGCATTGGTTTTTGACGAAGGAACGGAAGGAAGCTTTCTTCCGGGTTTTATGACCGCGTCACTCCCGTTTCTAATAGCATTGTACATACAACAAAGCACCAGGTTTAATTCCTATAATCTATATCTGGACGTTTTTACATAGGAGGATGTTTATGAATCATTCATAGCTGATCTATAGGCATCAGAACTATTACCGGACGCCAATCATAGATGCCAACAAGATTGCACGCGTGTTTTGCAGACAGCGAGCAGCCTGGCCGCATTGCGTCCTGCACCGGATAATGACACTTTAGGTGATGTTGGTTAACAGACCTTCTCTTGCATATGATGCCGTCTGTTCTCGCCTACTGGTGTAAAGTGTCACAGCTTCAGGCAGCCTTCAGACAAACGCAATCAAATCAGGCTCTTGCGCTGCCAGTTTATGTGGGTATATTACATTGGGAAACAATTTAGTCATCGGTAAGACTTATGCACATACCATACAGCGCAGATGAAATGAGGAAATATGTAATTTTAGCCGTTGAGTTTAAAGGCAAAAAGTTCTCTAATATATACCGGTTTTAAATATATGTTTAAAAAATGTAACCGCTTTTTTAAAATTAGACATTTTCATATTGGCATCTACAGTAGATTGCTCATTTTTCAGGTTTTATATTTGTATTTATTCGCTCTACTGGACCACTGTCTCACAATGCTTTAATGTTTCAAAAAGGTCTTTATTTTTCTCAACTGCCCTGTGCTGCAGCATCTCTTTTCACCCTCTGTCTGAAACCAGAGCCCAGTCTGCTCTGATTGGTTTGCTGGCCGGCTCTGTTGTGATAGATAGGATAATCGGGCCTCTTTAAAGTTTTACGTAAATTCATTTTTGCAAATGTTGATATTAAATAATGTCAACATTAAATAATGTCAACATTGATTAAATGTCAAGTCAACCTAAGGACATAAAAACATGTTCACCAGTAATGGAAGAGGAAACGTAAAATATTTCATGGCAATCCATCCAGTAGTTGATGACATTGTTCACCAAAGTGGTGGATCAACCAAGGACCATCACAGTGACATTGCCACACTGGGAGCTTTGTTGTCTGGCTAAAAACATATTGATCATAGACGAGAATCTATTTAAAATAATGTTATGAGCATGTTTGTTTTTAAGTCCAAGGCACAATTCAAATGACGTAAAGATGCAGATCAAAATCCCTTCGTTAGGATAATTGATAAATGTTGTGACGTGATGTGCTTCTTCCATTTTCAATCATTGCTGTGCTAAATAGGATGTGGCGACACATTTTGGGTGATTACATTCTCACCCTTCATTCCTCTAAAGCAGTGGTTCCCAACTTGGGGGGGCCTCAGATGATTTGAGGCCAAATATCATATTTAGACTTTTTTTTAAAAAATAAAAAAATTTGTTGACATATAATTGTAAGGCAATACATGATTGTCACTAAAAGCCTTGTCTCTACATTAAAATAACATATTAAAAATAATTGATTAATTAATTTTAATAAAAATTCAAATTAGTACTGTAGCTATTATAGGCATAAGAAGAAAGAAATGTATAATTCTTTCTTTAATAGAAATGTTTCTTCTGCCCGTAAAGTGTCTAAACCAGGCTTTTCTGGATAAGCGCATTTTTAAAACATAGTCATTGTCCATGCCGGTTTCAGTTGGATTATTTGTCACAGTTGCTCCGATCAGATCGGTCTCCTTCATTTTGTAGATTATTTACGACTTTTGAATCCACATAAACACATCGGCAAAATCTGGCTTACTTTGAAAATGTGTTTTAAACAGTTGAATCCCTTTGTGAATTGTTTCCACTTCCATTGTTTTCCGTCCTTTCATTTCTTCATACAGCGGAATGTATCCTGAGTCCAATAACCATCAAAGTCACTCCAATAGTGCTCCTTAATTACGCTTTCATCCTCCTTTAACGAAATAATTCACATTCATCTAGTTTGTGACAGTAGTTGTAGCATTTTTGAGACTTTTAAACTTTAATTACCGCTGATGCCCCCCCCCCCTTGTGTGTGTGTGGGGTGGGGGGGGGCGCGCAACTTGGGGAACCCCTGCTCTAAAGCACCACATAGACTTTTGAAAAGTTTAACTTTAGATCAAAAATGCCCAAGCAGTGGTTTAAAGGTCTTTGAACATCTGAAAGAAAACCATTTTTCAGAGTTTGCTTTTTTTTTTACATCGCCCGATCTCCTGACAGAAGTTCATTCATAATGCTGATGTCTCTTCTAATATGCCCTCTGGAGAAACGAGAGACTTTCCTTGAAGCCAATACTGTCTGAAAAAGGCAGAGTCAAATCCAAACTTCTGAGCCACTGTGGAATTTAATAAGCAGGTTTCCTCTTGACAGGATGGTATGTATGTTCTTAACGATATAAGCTTTGGCCCGTCCAGGTCCATCTACTGCAGGAACAGCTGTCGGTGGAGGTGTGTGCGCGGACTGAAACGCAGGCCAGGGTGCAGAGGCTGCTGCTGCAGAACACCGACCTGCTGCAACACATCTCCCTGCTGGTCAAACAGATACAGGAGCTGGAGCTGAAAGCTGCGGGTCACTTAACATCTAGTGAGTGGACATTTTCACTCTAATATTTAGTTTGGATGCATCAAATCCTCCCTATTCCCACTTTCAATCCCTGCTTCCTACCTGTCGTCATGGCTCCTTTTTCATCCACTTCTGGCACGCAATTAATTATCCAATGGCAGCGCTCTCAGCGGGTTCGATACTGCTCTCTGCTCTCTCTTTACTGCACTTAGCCAGTGTCAATATGCTACCTTATAGTCATGAATTATTAAATCCTGTCAGCACAGACTTTATCCCTGTCCGTGTAATCTCCTCATCTTGGCTCAAACCTCACTTCTCATGTCTTGTATCTCTGTTAATGCGATAACTACTAAATCTCGCTCTGCTTTGTTCTGTATGGAAGCCCTGAGAGGCAAAGTTTAAAAAGGATAATTTGCGGGAAATGTTGGATGTATTATTTTTCTAGTGTTTTTTTGTTTATTTTCGACGTATGAGATACAATAATATCCCATACGTAATGAGATGAACTTCTGAAAGTTATCAGCCAAAAAAATATACATATTTTCGTAGTTTCATCTTACACATTCTTAATTTTATATTTTTATATTCCTTCCTCAGTGGGCTCCCAGGACAGTCTTCTGGAGATCACTTTCCGCACCAAACCACCCAGCTCTTCTTTATCGATGGGCTCTTTTGCAGCTCAATCCCAGGTCCAGATTATTGACAGCCCCTGGTTCTCCTCCCTCCCCGGGCCCTGCTTTCCTGGCACCCTGTGCACCGACACCAGCCCTCTGGGGTTCCCCGGCAGTGGAGTTCGCCTTGAGTGCTTCCGCTTCTCCTCCCGCCAGCCGGACAGCCAGGAGCAGGACCAGGACTCGGGGGAGACCCCCATTGACGGAGGCCCGGACGGCTACTCGCCGCTGGGGGAACAGGTCCTGGGAGCTCTGGAGCTGCTCCGGTTCAGGGAGTCAGGTATCGGGTCAGAGTATGAGTCGAACACAGATGAGAGTGATGACCGGGACAGTTTGGGGCAGGGGGATGCAGTGGGGGGGGCTGACGGTGCTGCTCGACTCTTAAACGTACTGAACGCAGAAAGTCTACCGGACTGCTTAGGGGATGAGATGGCGGTGTAGTGGCGCTCTTATGCCTCAGTGCCACATTTATCTCTGTAAATATGCAAGTCGCCAGAAAGTAAAACCATTTTGAAACCTCCGTAATTCCCAATGTGTTTGCAAAATAACTCCTTCAGAACTTTTCTGGTCAGGAAGTTAACGTCAAGAACAATGAAAAATGGGAACTTTTGCAACAGTTTTTAGACAGGCCACACACACTGTATGCCACATGTTAGCATCAAATATTAACTTCCTGTAGTATTAGCAAATGAGTTAACTGGCTATTTCATTCAATTCAGTTGATTCACTATGTTGAAAGTCACATTTTTGAAAATTGATATTGTATATTGAACCATTAACTAATGCAGATAGTTTACCACATTGTAAGTTTTAGTAATGTTATTTGCCTAAATGTATGATTAGCAAAGCCTACACTTCTCAAATAGATTTGAAATGAAAGTACAATAATTCCCTATTTAATGTATTTGCAGTTATCAGTCAGTAATGCTCCAGATGCTTTTTCTGTTACACCGGACAGGAAAATTGTGCAGCAGTTGCAGTTCTATCAATCTGTACGACACGCATTTTCCTGTGTTGAACACTAAGGGGTGTTCCCCGTATACTGTATCTAATTACGGACTCAAAACCAAACTGTGTGGGAACATGGCTGCACAAAGCAGCATTGCACTTATCCACCACCCCAATGGGAAACAGATGCAATCATGTATTGTGACATCAGTAAAATACATAATCGACATAGCACTTACTACTCTTCTGTTCCGGTTTGCTACTTCCTGTGAACTGAGAAAATGTTCCATGCCTGAAAGTATGTTTTGCTCTGTTGCTGCTTTTAAGACCAAAACATGTATTTTCAGATAAGAATTTGGCACAGTGCAGCCCTTTTCAAAACGTGGACTGTAAATTAGTATAATCTCTGTGGTGTTTCATGCTCCGCCTTTCCGAAGATCTCTGCTTTCTGTACGTGTTGCATACTGTGTGCTGGTCAGTATGGTTCCTTGATTCGCTGGGCTTGTTACACTGTGGTTGTGTGTGTGTTTATGAAGTTGTGACACATTCGGCACCAATGTGGTCATTTTTGCTGTTCACCCAATGAAGATTTTTGAGGAAAAGTCTATCTGGATATGCTAACACATGTTTTGAGACAATTAAAAACTGTGCTTGTCATGACACATCATCTGTAAATATACATTGATTTTATTCATACTATTTTAGTCGTTTGACATTATTGAAGAACAATTTGTGATTCTGTGAAACTGTTTCTTAGTGGGAGACATCTCACTGTGTGCAGGTGCTAAAACATAGTCTCTGGTGCTTTAAAAACATAGCCGCCATTGAATGAAGAACATTCATTTTGAATTTAATCTGGCAAATCTTTGGACAAAAACGGTAGCTTGTTAGGCGTGGAGCCCACAATATTTTCGTCTGAGGTTCGATTGTCGGTCAAAGGTGACAGCAAAGTCGGATCTGGGTCTGTCTGTTGCGGGCTATTCACTGCCTCGCTGCAAGTCTTAGCGGAAGAAGTTTCTGGTAATCCTGTAGGATTGCATCTAATTTCACCAAAAATGGTCTGGGCACCTGTGATAAAACCGATGGACTCGAAACACAAGGAGAACACTGAAGAGCTCCAACTAATATCAGACACTGAAGGTTTATTGGAAGTGACGGCCGGAGAATTGACAAAGAAATTTGCTGCAGCAACGAAGTGATACAGCTCCTGCCCAACCAATTCTGAAGTTCTCTTGCTCACTCCTAAATATGTACCTATTCTATTCCTAAGAGAATAATCAACATTTGATAACTCAAAGCAAGTTCTGTTCCTAGCAAGGATAGATTGGCTCCAGGGAGCTATAAGATTAGATATTTAATTTGTCATTGTACATGTACAATTACTGTTATTCACCTGATAAGATGGACTCCCGGATGTCCTGTTGCTCTCACTGTGCGTCAGCTTTGTCCTGTTATCATCTGAAGAAGAGGTTGTTTTTAGAATGTGTTGGGCAGTCCAAATCAACTATCAGGGTCATACCAGTACATAGTCGTGTTTTTAGTGTTGCAGTGACGCGTCCTAAAACCAGGAAGTAAGCTGTGCTCGGTTTCCCTCGACAAAAAAGCAATGAGATTTCTCCATAGGATTTTGGAAAATAGCTCGAAATAATGTCAGTGGTAAACGAACCTGTTAGGTAAATGCGCGTTTTGTTCAGCCGGATAATATCCACATGTCTACCCTACTTTTATAATTTTCGAATCATAAATCTAATCGATAGATAGATAGCGTCACTGCCACTCTCACCGCCGTTAGAAAGTAGCAAGCAGAGCAAGTGCAATTATGGAGGGTTGAGATTTTGAGTATTTAATCAAAAATAATTGTACTAAACTTCCGCTACAGCAGCAAAAACAAATAAAATCTGATGACAGGCCAATGCCCAAACTGGAGCTGTGTACAGCGAGGAACAAAGGAGCGAACCGGACGTAAAACGTTAAAGGTCTCCTGATTTAGTTTGTGAATGAATGCTTATTAGAGTTCCAGCTGGAGAGTGCGTGCGGACCTGTCGGTCAGATAACAGGCGTGTGTAAGTCCTGCATCTGTATGATACAAATGTGTGTAAAATGATACCGGGCGCTGTAATGACTCTTCTGGTTACAGCGTTACATTGACCACCACACCGCCCCCTCACCCCAAAAGAAAGGACGTATACGGCTTCCCCTAATTTTTTCCCCACGCCACGCTACTGATATCGGCACCAATGACAAGAATTAGGAGAACCATATAGAAAAAGCCAATGTTCTCACTGATGGTCTTGTGTCCCAATGTATGTCGTATAAAGGCATCAATATAAAATTGAGAGTGTTTTATTACCAGTTCAAAGTAAGTCCTGAAGTACCAATTCAGAGAAAAGTTTGGAGGTATGTAAGACTTCCTGTCCTCTTTCATATTCTTCAGACCAGCAGTAGCACCAGCTCGACCTTGCTGACTGTGAGCCAAATCTCTGAATCACTGAATTGGGACATGTCTTTGAGCTCTTTCCAAGATCGATAAATCTCTTTCTCACCCTCCCTCCCCTTTTCTTCCCAAAGCTGGCCACCTCTTCCCCGCTCTCTTGCACTCACAATCCGTCTGCTGTGACCATATTTCTGTCAGTTCCCTCCAAGGTTATGTCCGTTCACACAAAGTGTACTAAAAAGTAAAGTGCACATAAATCAATGTTTCTCATTTTGGACATATATGCCCTTTCTAAAAGGCTGTCTGGAGTCATATTTGGTTAATTCGGTGTGAGTTACTAATTGTTTTGTGATATGATCAGAAATATATCTGGTACATAATGAGAAGCAGCACCGGTTTGTAGGCTGACCTTTTCAAAATGTTTTTCTCATTAGTATTTATAACTGGTTGAGAAAATGAGATGTGGGCATGTGAAGGTCTTTTGTGTGCCACTCACTGTTGTTATTATTCGAGGTACACCGGCTGTGGCCGCTAAACAGCATCTCTCATTAAGTTCACTTTGTATACAGACAGCAGCGGCTTCATATGACGGTGCAGATAAGCTGGAAATGATGAAGCATATCAGCCATTACTCACCCACATCCAGCCACGACATCCAGCAGCTCCAGTATTGTAGCTGTTGCGGACACAGATGGGCGGCCTCTTAGTTTGGTTCATTATAATGACAAATGCTCTGTAGTGTCATTCTGCTCAACCCCTTTGTGTTCAGCAGGTGAAATTAATTCAAAAAACATAGTTTACTGTACAGTACATGCAGTGTAAAGATGGTCCCTTGGGGCAACTTTGCTCATGGGATGACAACATCAACAACATCTGTCCAGACTGAAACATATTTTAATAGATGGTATGTCATTACAATTTCTAAAGGTTTACTAATAAAGTAAATATCAAAATATGAATATGAATTTGTACAACATTTGTATGGGCATTATACGGTAGCTCCCAGATGACAAATTCTAATGGAGGGCTACTATATGCTACGTTTTGTTGTACAACATTAAATACGTCAGTAAATACCCAACTCGTTCGTTTTTGAGTTTGTACATGTTGCCAAAAACATTTTAGGAGACCACTAAACGTTGTTGCACCAGTAGTCTTACGTTTGATTTTTACGTCTAGCCATAACACATGAATCACAAAATCCTAAAGGAAAGGTTCAATTGTAAAGATTTTTTATCTTGCTCAACAAAACTCTTTAAGTGTCATAAATGTTGTTTTTTCTTATTTATCCATTTTCGAGGTGACTTTTGTTGTATTCGGTTCAATGTAATAGTAGCCTATATTGGAAATAAACTTCTCACCATTAATTGTCATTCTTAGTCCTCGGACTATCCCTGAAGCACCATATTAGACCAAAAATGTACCTGCAAAACTGATGACATTCCCATCAGCCTCAGTTATACCTTGAGCTATTTGTAAATGTTACCATGCTAACAAACACAACCAATACATAAATCACACCAGAATAGCCTACTGTATGCTATATATGCTAAATATCAGCCTTGTGACTTAATGCATGTAAGCCTGTTGACATTATCATTTAGCTTAAAGCAATGAGCTTCACAGAACTGCTAGCAAGGCTCTAGACTTTTTTTAGACTTGTCAAAACCTACCAAAATGAATTCCAACTGCTTTACAGTGAATCATTATTAGTCATTATTCCAATCAGACTCCTACCAAGGTTAGCAAGTATGTGAGTCAGTTTATGTCTCTGTGTGTTATGTATTCCTGAGAAACTGAGGCAGGCAGCCACCAGAAACATCAATAGGTTGAGCCAGCGCCATATAGAGATATATATATATATATACTACATGGCTCTGGGTGGAGCATGCTACAAGTTAGCTTAGCTTAGCATGAATAGTGAAAGCGGGGAAACTGTACGAAGGTCAACAAAATGGACAAAACCAGGAAGAAAAGTAAGATGTTACATTATCATAACAAGTGCTTTTATCTTTAATGATTAACGTTAGCATTTCGGAATCATATATGCTTAAAACCGTTCAAAGGATTGACGTTTTCAAGATAAAGAGTGTGGGTAAAATTGTAGTAAAAGTCTTTGCTCCTTTAGTTCTGTTTCGGTTTCCAACATTGGTAAATGGTAAATGGACTGTACTTATATAGCGCTTTATCCAGTCTTTAAGACCCCTCAAAGCGCTTTACATACTACATGTCATTCACCCATTCACACCCATTCATACAGAGCATTGTACCTTACTCTAGGACCTAACATTCACACACATTCACACACCGTTGGCCATGCCATCGGGAGCAACTCAGGGTTAAGTATCTTGCCCAAGGATACATCGACATGTTGACTGCATGGGCTGGGATTGAACCCACAACCTTCTGGATCGAACCCACAACCTTCTGGTTGAAAGACGACCACACTCCCTCACAGCCACAGTCGCCCATATTACATTTTCTTTGGCCTTTTGTACTATTCTGTTGTGAGTAGGGGCCAGGGAATTTAATTTTTCTCCATGACATAGATGAATCTGAAATGTCAAGAATAAATGTAAACTTTCTGTGTACGTATAACACTATGAGTATTATTTATTTTCTAAAGTTCAAAATTGATTCACAAGATTTCAACTTTATTCTTCTCAATGTCAAGATGTCAACATTGTATTTCCTGGCACTTGAAGTGCCAACATAAACCTTAAAACCTTAATTTTCTTTTTTCTTTTTAATATTGTATTGACTGATCCCAGAAAACGTATTGCATTGCATCTGAAAGACAAAGAAAAGACAATGGGGGGGTTATAGTTTAAAAAGATTATATTATATAATCACAACAATTGTAACAACAAGAATGGAATTTGTATTATATTATTATATTCAAAACATAAATTAGTACCTTTTTATATGTGGTTTTGCGCCTTTTTCCTGCCACCAGCTGCCAAACTGGGTCCTTTAGCCAGGATACTCTCAGATGCTCACTGGTTGCTGCAGGTCTTTTAGTGGGGGCTTTTTGTTAAAGGCCCACTGGGTGTCACATGTCTGGGAGTGTGTGCTATACGTTTTTTTCAGTCAGGGTAATCTGAAAGTCTCACTGGAAATGAAAGATACTTTCTTTCAGAGGAGACTTTTGGGAGGAACTTTGGGTGCTGTTCCGGGAGGGGTTAGAGGAGTAGCCAGGTGAGGGGCAACCTGGGGAGGCAGGTTCACCATATCTGTTGGCCCAACCACTGTAAAACAGTTT